GCCCCTTTTCCCCTCTCAGACCGCCATCTCATCCCATCCCATCCCGCCCCCACGTCTCTCCTCACCGCACCGCCGCCGTCGCAATTCCCGCCGCCGCCTCGCCGCCCCGCCTATTAGCCACCGCTGGCCAATCAGAAGGGAAGAGACGCTGCTTGACCAATCACAAGACAGAAAAGAGATGTCCTGCCTCTCTCCCGGACCAATCGGAGAGCAGCTCGCCTACCCGCAGCCCAGGCAGGGATGTTCTGCGCCTGTGTAATGATGAGGCTTTGCGGAAGAAACTACTAATCCCAGCGGCCTCTGCGGTGCTACGAGTGCCCGTTGGAGACAAACCTCCACAAAACGCGCGGCTCGCCCCCTGCGGGGTGAGGCAGTCTTAGAAGGAGGCCCCCAGCCCCCCAGTGCCCCCGAGGGACCCAGAGTCCCCCCTCCAAAACCTCTCTTTGGGGAATTTCTGGGGAGAACCGGCCCTCCTGGCTCTGCAGCATGGTCTTGGTGCAGCCCCCAAGAGACGCTAGCCTCAGACAGAGGGGGCGAGGGCTGCATCCAAATTTTGGACGATTTAATTGCCTGCATCCCCCAGCAGCCCCAGTCTGAGCCATGCAGGGAGGGCTTGTGCTGATTCCCAGCCCATCTGCAGTGCCTTCAGGTGGTGACAATGTAAGGTGGTGTATGTGATGCTGTAACTGTATCAACGGACAAGAGAAGAGCCACTGATGTCATCTACCTGGACTTCAGTAAGGATTCTGATGCTGCCCCCACATCCTCCTCCTCTCCAGACTGGAAAGATGTGGATTTGATGGATACAGTGGATGAGGAACTTGTGAGATCGTCCCCAAAGAGCGATGGTCAATGTCCCCATGGCCAGATGGAGACCAATGACCAGATGTGCCCCTCAGGGACCAGTGCTGTTGGTGCCCCTGTTCACTGCAGGGGAGTTGGGCCAGATGGCCTTTAAAGATCCCTCCCAACTCAAACCATTCTCTGACTCTCTATTTTAATGGAGCGAGCTAAATAAATAAAGATAACTGAACTCAAATCCCATCAGAGGGATTGTTAAGCACTGAACCCACCAGGGCAGTTTGGACTCTATTAAAACACTCTGCACATCCCTCTGGTGACTCAGAGGTTTTATGTGCAACGACGACAGTGATGTAGCAGTTTTTCTTTTAGAAAGCACAATGTGCCAGCATTGGGGTTTGGGGTTTCGTGGCCCTTGGGATAGCACTGGGTGGGATGGGGAGAGCAGCGTTGTGTGGGATGAGCAATTTTGTGGATGCTGAGCAGAGAAATTCCTTATGGCTATTTATTGATTGGGGAATGCATTGTCTGTGCCTCAACAGTGTGATCCTGACCCCAAATCCTGACACTGCCCCAAGGACAGGTCATGGTCCTCAGCACTGCAGGATCAGTTCTTCATTTATGACTGCAAAAATACCATGGGCATTTTCAGGCTGATGATTTGTTTCATGGGAAGGAGCTCGATGTTGGGGAACAAATGGGGAGATGGCTCTGAGACCTCCTATCCTGGTCTTCTGGGTGCTGGCACCGGAAGTTGAGAATAAATAGGGCAATTTTGAGCTGTATTTGTGGGGTTTTTGGAACCTGAGCCTGAGTTTGATCATAAACAGAGCAGCTCTGGGATGAATTTGAGCATTTTTTGGACTCTGAACCCATACATGCGTGTGTGTACATGTGGACCCATGCTCACCACAGCACCTCCTGAAGTCCTCCCCTACAAAATTGCTTCCCTGCCCTGAAACACTGGTAGAGATTTGCATAAATTTGAGCATAAAACTTCAGCATATGGTGCTTACGAGCCGGTTTCCTCTGCTCATCTCAGGCTCAGTCATGGTGACCCACTGTTGGCATGGAGGGGACATACAACGGACAATGTGCCATGTGTTGAAGCACAATTAGTGTCAGATCTACTTTTTTTTTTTTGCCCTGAAAATGGAATTGCTTTTGCATCCTCCATCCTCCCCTTGTCTCTTTGTTGTCTCAAACGCCAGAGCCAAAAACCAGCTGCAGCCCTCCCAATGGAGATGAATGGAGAGCAGCAACCCACACCCATCCATCCATCCATCCCCAAACCCAAATCTCAGCACTGGCATCCCTGTGGGCAGGAGGTGATGGGCTGCAGCTAATAAGAAGCTGCTGCGCCCTTTGAGCAACAGCTAAATGAGTGTAATTGTGCTTCCATAAAATGCAATTTGGAGTAAGATGACACAAATCCTTGTTGGCCCCACTGAGTGTGCGCCGGTGGTGGCTGTGGGGTTTGGGGATGGTGGGATCGAGTATGGAATAACCAGGAGGAAGGGCTGTGATGATGGTGTGCAGAAGTTTTGGGGTAAAAGTAACCCAGAAGAGTAAATGGAGTAATCTGTGAAGACATCACTTGTCTTTGTTGCATGTATAGGTTTGATGTTTTGAGGCCCTAAAACCAATGCTAGAGGAGGGATGAAGGCTCCAGACCAACCCACAAAGCAGAGTGGACATCGATGGAGGGCTTCTGGTGGGGTGTCACAAATCTCTTCAGCCTCTACACAATCCAAGAGCCACTCCATCCATGGAGATGACCACATCCTGTATCTCCTGGGGCTGAAACAAACCCTGATTTGTTTGCTTATGTATGTTATATATGGTCATATATGTTTGTATGTTTAAGAAATGTCCTCCTAGCCCATTTCAGGTCCCTGCTGCTCTCTCCCCTGCTTTGCTCAGGGAGTCAATGAGAGGTGGGATGAGATCTCCTGGGGAGCTCTGGTCCAAGCGTGCTAAAAACAGGACCAATCCCAATGCATCTAATTGGATGGTGATGTTCTTCTGTTTCTCCCATCCTCATCACAGCTCCTCAGAGTCCTTCCTGAGCTCACTCAACTCACTGAAGCAATGGAAACGCAATGGTTGGATCTTCTCGTGGTTGGATGAGAGGACAAATGGTGCCTGTGGGAGTGCGAGGATCTTTCATCAGGTTCATCCTCACCATACCAGGTGTCAGACTCCCAAAAGAATGGAAACCGTGAGCCTGAATTCTGCCCTCATTCTACAAAAGCAGTGAATCCTCTCCAACCTAAACCTACTTTCTCTCATGGGATTTAGATGCTAGACCTGGAATTGCCACAAAATGGGCATCACACTTAGTGTGATGGCAACCCCTCCCAGCAATCATCTCCCCCCGCCCCCAAGTTAATTAGAAAGACCCTGAGCATCATCACCCGATGTCCTTTGCTACCAACTCAGCCCCATCCAAATCACCAGCTTAAAATCCAGTCTTGGAGGTAATTCCCTCTCGCCAGGCTACAGTGATTCCTCTGGGGGGGGATCCACTGTAAAATTGTCCCCAGAGGGGACAAGGTGCCTGTCCCCTTGCCATTCCCTTCCCTCCACCTTGGTTTGGTGAAAAAGCCCTTCATGAAAAACCACAACAACCTGGATGGTTAAGGGAAGTCTGAGCAATAGGGTTACTTTAAAAAATCAGCTCTCAACCACGAGTGCAGTGGGGAGTGCTTCTCCCCTGGCTCCCCCAAGGCAGCTCTGCCACTTTATAGCTGTTTCATAGGTTTCTGGCTTCTGATGCCTGCCCGGGCATGCACAGAGCAGAGGTCTCAGGCAGGACATTGAGCGTGCTGTTTCAGAGCCAAAGCGAAAACAAAAGGAGCCGTTTCGCTCTGCTATGCAGCCCTTCCCAGGGAGTTGATAGGGGGAATTACCGAGATATGATCTCAGTGGTGCTGCGGATTTGATTATCGAATTGCCAGTGTGGGGTGGTGAAGGATGCTCGGGGCAGTGAAGGATGCTTGGGGTCACGCAGGATGCTCAGAATCGTATAGGATGCTCGAGGTGATGAAGGATTCTTGTGGTCGTGCAGGATGCTTGGGGCTATGATGGATTCTTAGGGCAGCGCAGGATGCTTGGGTGGTATGGGATGCTTGGGGCAGTGAAGGATGCTCAGGGTGGTACAGGACGATTGAAGCAGTGAAGGATGCTCAGGGTGGTACAGGATGATTGGGGCAGTGAAGGATGCTCAGGGTGGTACAGGATGCTCGAGGTGATGAAGTATGCTCTGGGCAGTATAGGATGCTTGGGATGATGAAAGCTTCTTGGGGTCATGCAGGATGCTTGGGGTGCTGCAAAATGCTCAGTGGCTTCCAGCAGGGTTATCCACGGGGGCAGCTGGATGGGAAAAAGGAGGCGATGCTGCTTGGGAAAGGCTGAATGTGGCTGTGCCCCTGAGGTGGGAGCACAGGGACACACCTTCTTTGGGATGGACCCAATGGAGCACATATCCACTCCATTTTGGGGTAAGGGGAGAGATCCCCTTCATTTCCAAATGAAAAGTTTTAATTTTACCCCTCTGTCCATTGAGCTGGGAATTGATTCTCCCCATCCTCCTGCCTGTGATCAGTGCTGGTTGTGCTCATTAAGCCACACTGGAGCAACATATCTGACGAGCCCCTGTGCCCCCCCCCCCCCCCCCCCCCCCCCCCCCCCCCCAGAGCTGTTCTGGGGTAGGGGGAAGCCCATTTCCATCCTCGGGCTGCATCAGTGACAAAAAGGCAACATTTTAAACCCATTATTCCCTAAAAAGAAATTATGGGGTGAATGATGGTGGGTGGCCCCCAATCTCAGTGAATGCCCCACAGCTGAGCCCCCTTGCCCCATAACCCCCCCCAAATTCAGCTCCCCGGGATGCTCGAGGGGACTGCACTGGGTCTGACAGAAAGGCATCTGGGGGTGACACAGCCACCCCATATTCACGCACCGTCCCCAAAACACGATGCCGGAGGACACCCCGCTAAGGGGAACCGGTTCACGACACAGAGGGGTACGGAGGGGGGGGACACACATCCCCTGTCCCCAGCTGTCAGTGCAGCTTCAGCCCCCGGGGGTGGGCTCAGCCCACGTGCTGGGGGCCGGGCGGGAGGTGTGGGGATGGGTATGCACACCGTCTATATATACCACCAAGGCACCGGCGCCGGAGGAGGCACAGAGCAGAGGAGCCGGCAGCTGACAGCACACTGCAGGTAGGAGATGGGCTTCGGTTTGCAACGGATTGGGGGGAAAATTGGCTTTCTTTCTTCTTTTCTTTTCTTTTCTTTCTTTCTTTCTTTCTTTTTTTTTTTTTTTCTTTTTTTTTCTTTTTTTTTCTTTTTTTTTCTTTTTTTTTTTTCCGGGTTTTTTAGCCCGAGCATCATCGGCGAGGCTTCGATTCATCCCGTATTCCCATTCCTCAGTAGGGGTTAAAGGGAAATATCTCCCCACAAAGCAAAATGCACGATGCTTATCTGGGCGAGCACCTGCCAAAAAGTTTCACCTTCCCCCAAATATCCCTTTTTGGACCCAAACTGATTGAGGAACGCAACAGGAGCCCGACGCACGGTGGGGCAGCGGGGTGGCAAGTGAGATGCAAAGGCTTTAGGGTTTGATCTGACACAAAGCACCCGGCTCTGTTCCTCCACCCCTGTGCCGATGGCCTGAAGGGAGAAACCACAGGGTTGGCAAACCCCAAATTATCCCTTTTTGGCATTTTTCTCTTTTTTCTGGGGGGTGATATCCAGGACAAAAGGGGTAGGGAACTTCACAACTTCAACACCGTGGGATGCACCGGGAGGTGCCTGGAGCAGGAGGCATCGGTCCCCCCTCTGACAAAGCACAAAAGGGAGAAAAATGGTTGGGTTTTTGTTTTTGCTTTTTTATTCTTGCCTTCCCCGACAGAAAGCAGGAATGAATGGGGATGGACTCGGGAAGCAGCCGTCTGCCCAAAGCTTTTACCTCTAAATCGCTCCATCGCTGCCCCATCTGTGTTGATCATCTCACCGCAGTCTGTAATTTTGGCCAATTATGGCCAATTACCTGATGGAGGGACTCAACAAAAGGAAGCGCTTGTTTTTCTGCTGAGCACCAGGGAAGCAGGGGGGGCTGCTTCCAATTCCCCCCAAGCCACCGGCACAAAGATTTGGGGCACATTGGCAGCATTGCCTTCCCCTTCGGCTTTTCCTTTTGCTGGTGGCAACTTTGCATCATTTTAATGCTGGAGGAGAGTGGGAGGGGAAGTGTTTTACTAGTGCCACTGGGGGACACCATTGGATAATAGTGGGGTTTGGGGCTGGAAGCAGGTCCGTGCCCTCTGAATCAGGCCTTGCATTCACCTGGAAGAGTGGGGTTTGGGAGGAAACAGAGCAATCATTGGGGCTGACTGAGCTCTGGGCACAGTGCTTGTTCCCCACGTGGTGAGACAGACCCTAACCCTAATGAGAGCATTCCTGGGGAACACAGGGTTCAGCATCCCTGAGCAGCCCCATTTCATCTGATTTCAGCCCAAAGCTCACGCACCGCAGAAAAACCCAATCAACCCAAATCGAATGAATGAAAGCGCATCGCAGCAGCACCTGCTGCCCGTCCTCCTCCTCCTCTCCTCCCTGGTTATTGATGTCAGAGCCAGACCCGGCCGCTATCTGAACCACAGGCTGTATTTTCACCCAAATCCCTCCTTTTCATCCCAACGCTGTCGTTAATGAGGATAATTCGACTCGATACTGGCGTACCCCAGAGCTGTGGGGCTCACAGCAACGTTTTGGAGGATGCTGTATGCCTCCATCCCCCCAGTACCAGGCAGGTGCTCCGCTTCAGATGGGCTGATTGCATTTTCAGGGGCATCGATATGCAGCGCCACCCCTCCTCCTGGCGCTCGCATCCTGCCTGCCCCATAGCATCTTCCAGTTGGCCGTCCAGTAATTCTCCCAGGCTCTGCACTCCAGCTCTCCCGGGGACACTGGGACACTTCCTTCAGGGGCATTGTGGGGATATTGGGGTTTTGCAGTGGTTTTTGGGGGGGTTTGTCCTCTCCTGGGAGCATCCTGCCAATCCTCTGACTCATGCCGCCAGCCAGTTTTAATGAGACTCGGCGAAGATTAAGCCTTAATTCTGGCTCCTTATCAGCTTTCCCTCCAGCAAATGACAAGCAGCTCCGCGGGGCTCTGTGTCACTGAGCTCGAAGGTGACCGTGACACCATGCAGAGTCCCCAGTGCTTCTATCGCAGGATGCCCCCACCTTGGTGGAAAACATGAGCCCTCAGCCCTGCCCACAAAAGCAAACCCACCCTCAAATCCCCCCCAGAATGCCCCTACATGCTGGTGAAGCACAGGTCACAAAGCCACCACCGAGGTCTTTGCCTGTGATGGGCTAAGCTGGGCATGTGGTTCCTGGATACCCATCAGAATGGTGGCAGAAGATTGGAAATCATGGTTTTAGAAGGAAATGAGGATTTCTGGTCTGCTGATGGAGCTTGAAGAAGGTTTTAGACATGTTGCCCATTTCCTTGCCCAGGACATGGCTTGCATAAAGGCACCAAGGTGCCACCAAGGGCAACTCTATCTTTGCTGTCCCCGTGTCCTCAGGCTCACTGCTGGCACACAGACGTCCTGCTTGGGGACAGCCTGAGACGTGCCACCTCACCACGTCCACCTGCTAAATTAAGCCCTGCTGGTACTCGTGTCATGAGATAGCCTGGGAAAATGGAGCTGGGGGTGGGAGGGAGGCTCATTCCCATTATGGTGAGGGCTGAGTGTTGCTCCAACCCATTTAGGAGTAGTGCTGGGGCTCACAGGTTTTGTCTCTGGCTGCAGCCCTGCTGTTGTCACCATGAGGGCCGTGCTCTGGGACCTGCTGCTGCTCTGCCTCTTTGCCCGTGCAAGGAGTGACTGTCGAGGGGATTGCCTGCGCTGCGACCGCCACTTCTACCGGGATGGCTTCGACCTCCTCGTGAGTGCCCCTGCACCCAGTGTGGGGTTTGGGGTAATGAGGTGGTAGGGCATGGGGAGCTGTGGGGTGGTGAGGAGCCTCGAGGGTGCTGCTGTCCTTGTCTCTTCTCCTTGGGCGCATGGAGGGAATGGATGCATGCGGCCATGGTTGTCATTGTACACCACCAAAGTCTACCAAATTGTCCCCAGATTGGCTTGGGGAGCTGCTGGGAGAGATGGCGACAAGGCTCTGATGGCTATGGGATGGAGCTGACATCATTGGGGAGGGTCCAGGACCTGCAACATGCCCTCCTGGCATCCCCATTGCACGCCCCTGCCAGAGGCACCAGCAGCCAAAAGGCCACCCAAAACCTGCAAGCCCCATCAGGACCAACACCGTGTCCCGCTGGGGCTGCAGATGGATGGTGAGATGAAATATTTGGGGTGGGCAGTGATCTGCAGGGCTGCTGAGCCCATGGGAGACGTGGTGACTGAGAAAATTTCACACTGCAAAGGGATGAATCAGCCCGTTCCTGCCTGTAATGCTTTCCTTTCCCCTCCGCTGAGCTGTGGCCAGACTCTGGCCAGGAGCATTTCTTTCCTTCCCATTCCCCTCCACCCACAGGGAAGCACTGACCGCCTATTCATTAGCGACGCTGCAGTGATAAATTTGGCTTACTGTGACAGGGGAAGCTCCTGGGACTGGGAAATGTCCTAGAACTAGTGGGGATCAGACATTCGGTGGGGATGTCACAGCTGACCCAGTATCAGGCCGCTGCTGTCCCAGTGGGGGCAAGATTTGGGGTGCATCACCCTGCGTTTGGCCCTAAAATTTGAAAGCATCAAATGGAAATGTCCAAGTAGTTTCCCAAGGGCTGCAGAGCTGTGACTTCAGGGTAGGAAGAGAAGAATCCCCAAAGTGACTGGCGTGCCTGCACCATCCAGGAACCAGCTCTTCAAAATGTGGATGATCAGCCTATGTCCTGGTCCCCAGAGCCACTGGGGGGGCAGTGCCAGCCCAGGGTGACACCACTAATGCCAAGTGAAGCTTGGAAAGAGCCTCACTAGCTTCTTTTGTCATTGAACGTGGAGGAGCATTGGGCAGCATTTGCCAAGGATGCCCCAAACAACATGAGTTGGCCACATCAGAAGATGTTCCCTTATGAATTAAGGCAACGGGGCGATGGCTGAGGACACTGGGATGCTAGTGGGGCTGTGTTGTGAATGGATGGTAGGACTGCTGATGGCTTTCAAGAACCTGAGTCAGCTGGGGACAGTTCTTTTTTTCTTTTTGTCTGAAGAGCCTGGCTGACATGGACATTGTGAATTGCTGCACAGTTAGATGCTTGAGCTGTAGCTCTCAGATCCCGTGTTGGGATTTGCAGGATCTCTCACCCATGGAAGTCAATGAACCCATGGCAAAGAGTGGTTCTGCCAATGATCTGCCTTGCAGATGGCCTATTCTGGAGGCTGTGAGATGTAAAGCAGCATGTTTCAGCCATAGGATTCCCCACGTTGGCATCAAGAGATTCAAAGAACCCACCATGAAGAAAACTCTGAGATGGAACCACTGCAGGAAAAGGGAAGAGAAGCCTTCCCTCCTTGGATCTCCAGCTTCTTGGGATATTTATTGAGTTTGGCTCTCCAAAGACCTTCTCCTGGATGGTTTCCCCTGGGTGGTTTGCCCAGTTGGCTCTTGGAAAGGGATGGGATGTGGGTACTGAGGAAATGACATGGTCAGGTCACTTTTGGTGGCCTTTGAAAGGATGTGGTGACCCTAGGGACTGAGGGAAGGACAAACTCATTCTTAACATCTGAGAAGCCAGGGCTGGTTGGCCTCACAGCAATCCTGGGGCGGATGGCAATGTCATCTTTGAGAGCTTTTCCAAACACACAAGAAGGTCAGTGGGAGCAGCCAGCATGGATTTACGAAGGGGAAATCATGCTTCACCAACCTGATCACTCTCTGCAGCGAGATGACTGGCTTCTCCTGACTTCTATCCTATGACAGCTTGGCACTGGTGAGACTTCTTTTCATCAGTAAAGGGACTGGAATGGACTGGAGTGAGAGTACAGGAAACCAGAACAGGAAAGAACATGGTTTTGCTGTGAGGATGGCCACATGCTGAGTGATTGTGGTCTCCATCCTTGGAGATAACCCAACTCCAACCTGTCTGGGGTGCCCATGCTGGAAAAGGTCTCCCAAGGCCCCTTCCCACATCCACCATCCCATGGCACACTTAGGGAATTTGGGGCTCATGATGGCTGAAGAACCCCGCAGCACCCAGCAGAGAAAGATGGGACAGGAGTGTAGATGGCAGTGGGGAAGGAATGTGAGAGGCAATGCGGGTTCAGGTGCAATTCCCCAGCATCTCCATCACTTCTGGGAGTCTGAGGATGGTTGAAACCCTGAATTTGGGACAAAATGGTGACTGGTAAGAATTGATGTGCTCCCAGTGCCTTTCTATGGTGTCTTGCAGCATGTTGGTTGGGCGAGAGATGAAGAGAAGCCCAATGATCCAATGGGTGATAGATTAAATTGAAAGAGTAAAGGTTTAGATGAGGTACAAGGAATAAATTCTTCACGATGAAGGTGGTGAGGCACTGGAACAGGCCATGGGTGCTCCATCCCTGGCAATGACCGAGGCCAGGCCGGATGGGGTTTTGGGCACCTGATCTTTGGCAGGAGTTCCTATGGCAGAGGTTGGGACTGGGTGGAACCTCAAAGTCCCTTCCCACTTGAACCACTCTGGGATTCTATGATCTGAAAACAGTCCCCCCGTCTCCCCACACAGGTCTGCATCCTGGAGTGCGAAGGCGAAGCCGTCCCGCGGGCCACCTGGGAGATGTGTGCCACCAGCATCCGATCTGCGCCGCGTCCAGGTGCCGTCGGTGCCGGCGTCCTCGGTGCCATGGAGCCGGCTGAGGCGGTGGCGAGCCCGCTGCAGGTAAGCGAGCTGCTGCGGCGCCGGGACGCCGAAGACGGAGGTGCCGGGATGGCGCCGGGCGCTTTCCCATCGCAGGACGAGGACATTTCCCGGCGGCTCGGAGGTGGCTTCCCACGGGGGACACGCGGCTCGTGGCCGGCGGCCCGTGGGGTGCAGAAGAGATACGGGGGCTTCATCGGGGTGCGCAAATCGGCGCGGAAGTGGAACAACCAGAAGAGGTTTAGCGAGTTCCTGAAGCAGTACCTGGGCATGTCGCCCCGCTCCAGTGAGTACGACATGGCCGGCGACCTCAGCGAGCACAACGAGATCTAGCCGGCCCCGCGGCACCGCGCCATGGACACGCGCACCATGGCCAAAAAGTCAATCCATTGCCCCAACCCCAAAACCTCCGTTAGGAAGGGTTTCTCCAGGAAGCGATGGCTGCTTGTTGGTTTTCTTTATTATTATTGTTTTGTTTTGTTTTGTTTTTCATTGTACCCTCAAAATATCATAATTTTACCCCCTCAGCTCCTACCCATCCTTTGCCCCTTTTGCTTTTTTTGGTTGGCACGTTTTGCCCAAGAAACACCAATTTTGCTCCGCTGAATGGCGATGCTGGATCTTGGGATGCTCCAGTGCTGTGTTCCCCATTCCTAATGGGTGCACATCAAAAACAGAAGGGAAAAAAATAATGGCTTGGAAACACCAAGCCCCAAGGCTGGGCTGTGAGTTCCTACCTCAGTGACACCCCAGAAATATCCCTTTGCCATAGGTCACATTGGGATGTAAGGCAAAAGGGTTTTGTCCCCAACACCATAAAAGTGTGCAGAATGTTTCAGCCTCCTCCTCCCATTAGAAAAAACAAAAAAGACCATAAACCAGACCTGTTGCTTCTGTAAATGAGATGACTCTCCCCCAAAGCATCGCATTGGCAAAACCCAGTGGTGAGCGGGTAGCATCCCCCTGGGCCCAGGAAACAGTGCTGGGATGCTCTGAGCCCCCACCCCACATCCAACCACACCCTGTAACACTGAAATTAAGTAGAATTTTTTATTTCCCTCCTCCTTTATTATTATTTTTGCCTTTTTTTGTTTGTTTGTTTGTTTGTTTTTTTGCTGCAAAGCATCTCCTTAAAACCAGGGGATTCCTTTCCAGCCCCGCAGCCCGCAGGGCAGAGCATCTTGGGGCAAAGCATCCCGGGACAAAGCATCCCGGCCCCTCTCTTGCACTGCTCTCAGCTGCAATTATTATTATTATTTTTTTTTATTATTATTATTTTTATTTTTTCTGTTTTGTTTTGTTTTTGTTTTTGTTTTTGTAGCGTTCCGGCACCGCGTCCCGGCACCTTCCGCCAGGCACAGGCAAAATTAAACCCTGCTCCTGTCCACCCAAGCAGCCTCCAACCTCTCTCTGACGGACCCCAAAGCGCTTCAGACTCGCACGCGTCCCGAAATCATTTTTCTCCCTTCTCGAGAGCAGCCAACCGGGTGCAATTTAAGCCAGGACGGGAAAGGATGAGGCCACCGCCGGAGCCAGGAGTCGTGGGGTGGGGAGTGGGGCAGAGGACTGCGGGGATTGGGAGGGGGGTCCACCCCTCAAAAAGCAAAAAAAAAAAAAAAACCCAACAAAAAAAAGGGATTTTGGCAAAATTTGCGCCCTGCTCGGCCATTGGGAACACCCAATGTGGGAAAACAGTGATTTAACAAGTTTTGTTTTACTCCCCCTCTCAAGTGGCTTTCGGGCATCCCCTCCCAGCATCGCGTGCCCCCCCTGGGGCTCCCCACAGGATTCACCCCCAGCATTTGGGGTTTGCATCCCACCACGGCTCGGTTCCCCCAAAAAAAAAGGGACCAAAGCATGACCCAGCACCCAGGGCTGGGCAGAAAGCACCCGGAAATGGTGTTGGTTGGTTGTTTTTTGTTTTGTTTTGATTTCTTTTCATTTAAAATGATTTTTATTTTGTAATTACTATTTTCTGAGTGCTTTCCTTGAGGTTTTCTATGGACTCCGGGGTTGACTTCTTTGCTCAGCATCGCAGCGTGTGTTTTCGTCGCGTTCCCCCCGGCATGTATTGTGTCCCCGCTGCCGTCCCACCACCGGAGCCCTGGTCTCACCCTTTGTACAAAATAATAATGGTAATAATAATAAGAATAATAAATACCCCACAAAAAAGGAAACAAAACAAACAAACAGAAGCCCACACAACAACAACAACAACAAAAAACACAGGAAAAAAAAACAAACAACAAAAAACCAACTCAACCTTCTCCCTGTTCTTTTTAATTGTTTCATACAAAGGTTTCTCCATTAAACTTGTACATAGCAAAAGGATTAATAAATTAGTTTACTGTTTCTACGATATCAGTGCGACTGGCGACCGTCACTTGGGACAACGCTTACCCTGCTGCCATCCCTGAGGCTCAGCTGGCAAAAAAAAAACAGGTTTTTAGGGCAAAAAATGAGATTTTTTTGTGGCAAATGTGCATGAATCTCAGCTGGGCTCTCCCCTTGCATGGGCTGCAGCAGCGTGGCATGAGAGTCACCCCATTGCTTACGTACCTGGCAGCCCTTCACTCAAAAAAGGAATGGACTGGGAGGTGTTAATTGGGGGAATAAAAGAGTGTTTCAGAACTTCAGACAGAGAGGGGATGCGCCCAAAGGAGTTGGAAATAATCACTGGGGACACACCAAAGCCTGGGCTGAGACGGCGACAGCTCACTGCAGTGATGTCCCCACCCTGCAATACAGGAAGGGTTCTTGGGGCTTTCTTGAATGCCCCCAGGAGCAGATGCCAGGCTGCATTCGTCCCCTGCAGGTGCCACACGGTGCCAGCTTCCATTTTGGTCACTGCAAGGCTTCAGCTTCACCCCACAGCTTCCCAATGGAAATGTGGGGTTGGGACCAGGGGTGCCCAGGCCCCTTGATGGGACTGGTTCTTGTCAGCTCTCCTCCCATCCTTTCCTCCTTTTCCATCACCTTGTGCAAAAATATGGAATTATTCATAGAATCACAGAATGACCTGGGTTGCAAAGGCCCACAGTGCTCATCCAGTTCCAACCCCCTGCTGTGTGCAGGTCACCAACCAGCAGCCCAGGCTGCCCAGAGCCACATCCAGCCTGGCCTTGAACGCCTGCAGGGATGGGGCATCCACAGCCTCCTTGGGCAACCTGTTCCAGTGCCTCACCACCCTCTGGGGGAAAAACTTCCTCCTCATATCCAACCTAAACCTCCCCTGTCTCAGTTTAAAACCATTCCCCCTTGTCCTATCATTATCCACCCTCATAAATAGGATTCAGGCTTTGTGCACTGTGCATGTTCAGGCATTCTGCACCAGCAGGCAGCTTCTGAGCTGGGCAGTCCCATGGTGAGGGCTCTGCACAGGACATGGGTCAGAAACCCACCGGGTTCTGCATGCACCCACCTCTCCTTGCAGATTTCAGCTTGAAAACTTGAAGGACCGGGCTTTATGAGGAGGAAAACCAACAGAAGAGGAAGGATGCACCACCGGTGGGCAGACACTGCTACCTAGTGGTGCCACAAGCCGTTGTGCCACAGGGATGGAACCATGCAGGGCACCGGACCCACAGCGCAAAGACCAGGCAGAGCCGGCGAGCTATCAGGCAACTTTTCTTTATTTCTTATAAAATATATTTCATATCGCTACTGTAAAAATTACATTTCACATTTGCGTTCTTTTAAAATTTTTTCTTTTTTTTTTTTTTTTCATTTTTTTTGGTTTTGGGTTTTTTTTTTTTTTTTTTTTTTTGTTTTTGTTTTTGTTTTTTTTTACAATAAAAACAATACTTGGAAGACAGCTGAGAAAAGCTCCAAGACAGAAGATAACATCCTCCCAGCCCAAGAGGGCAGCAGGGTCCTGTGGGAGCACAGGGATGAGCATCCCTGAGCCCTTCCCCAAGCCACCACCCTGTCACCACTCCCAGCATCACCCGATGGCAGCAGGGCACGGTGACAGTGCAGGGTCACCCTGCACTCAGTTTGGGTGCCAGCGGGGCTGGAAAAGGAGAGCAGCCTCCAATTAGTGCCCAATTAAAAGGTTCCTATTTACATACATACATACACATGGCAGACAGCTGGAGTGGGAGATGTCTCCAAGCTGAGCTTGTAGTCGGGGGTTACCCACGGTGGGTGGGATGGAGTTTAGTGAGACCAAGGCTGGAAGTGAGTGAAGAAATAATGAAGAGATGGGAAAGGGAAAAAAAGCAAGAAATGGGACACCAGCCAACCTGACAAACCACAGAATCATAGGCTGGCCTGGGTTGCAAAGGCCCACAATGCTCATCCAGTTCCAACCCCCTGCTATGTGCAGGGTCGCCAACCAGCAGCCCAGGCTGCCCAGTGCCACATCCAGCCTGGCCTTGAAAAAATGACACAACGCCTGCTGTCACTGCAGCAGAAATACAAGTTTTTTTCCTTTTAAAAGTGTAAAAAAATCCAAAATACTCCCAAATTGAAATAAAGGAAAGCCAGGAGCTAAAGGACAATTTTGTCCCATTAAATCCGTACCGCAAAAGCCCTCAGAAAATAAAGCTGTGTGCAACCCTGGGTGAACACCACCAGCACAGAACAGCCCTGTGCAGGGTGACCCTGGGGCTGTAAGTGCTATTGGCTGCAGAGGGAGGCACTGCTCCCCAACATCTCAGGTGTCCCACCATGCCCTCAACTCAGCGGGCAATCAGCCACTCATTCCAGAGCCATTCCTATCTTTTTCTTCCTATTTTTAATATAAAAATCACCTTTAACAGTAAGCAGAAAGTTATTGTCATTTCCATTTGCAGAAATTCAAGTTCCCATCAGTGAAAAAATATGATTGACTACAGGAGGGGGAGGCAGTGCGGATTGTCAGACGCTACACCCTGGTTTGGGGGACAAAGCCCCGGGGGGGTGACACCCCCACATGGCTTGTGTGACATTTCCTGAGCGATGGGGACCCAAACGGGGTCACTCTGTTTGGGGCAGAAAGGACAAGAAAAGCAGGAAGGGAAAACTTCTGGGTCTGAGTCGTGGGAGCAAAGGCACAAGGTCTGAGGGAACCACAACTAATCTTTTCTGTTTAATTATTAATCTCCATAGTCTGAGCGACCCGCGCCTTCAGCATCACAGAAACCTGTCTGTGCTGCTGCAGGGACCAGCAGCAAGCTTGGGTGCTGCCAGCTCTGCAATCCAAATGGTAGCAAATGCCCCAGGGGCTCTTCTTTTTTCTTTTTTTTTTTTTGTCCCTAAATAAAAAATAAAAGTCAGGAATAAATTCCTACTTTTGAGCAGTGCAATAACCCCAGCACGCAACCCGCTGCTACCAGGATGCAGAGCGTGAACCTGCAGAGCTGTTCCTGCAATAGACAGCTGTGGGGATGGCTGATGGCAGTGGGAGAGGAAAGGGCTTTCCCAGCATGGTAGTCCCAGCAGGGATGTGATCCTGAGCCAGCTACTGTCCAGGAAAAAACACGGGCTTTGAATCAGACCTGCATGAACACACTTGGGATGCATCCTGGAGGAGTTTTGCTCCTGCTTCCTGATTCTGAATCCGCCCATTTGGTACCAAAGATCAAGCTCTGGAAGGAGATACTGTTTAGATATACAAAATTACAAAAAGAGGTTGACAAGCACCAGTATTACACGTATGCATCTATGCCAGAGCACCAACAGGGCGTGCGTCCATCCAGCAGCAAAACGATGCTCTCCCAGCCACAGAATTTGCTTTTTGAAGGGAGTTTTTGTCACACCGCACGGTCCTGAACACCAGCCCAGGCTCGAGCCTTGTGCTGGGATCACACTTGGTTGTGCCTTATGGGCTGTGATTATCAAAAATGCAGCAAAAAAGAGGAAAAAATATCCAGGACACAGACTTGCCTGCTGCCAATGGGGTGCAAAAGCAAATTTTAAGATCGTTCACCAAACTGGGGCCACGCTGTGATGCTGAGAAAAAGCTCTTCCCAGTCCTCCCAGCTTGCCAGCTGCCTTTGCTGGTGAAATCAGGAAGATTTCTTTGTTTAAAAACGAACAAACAAGCATTTGCTCTCAGCCTGCTTTTGAAAGACACAGCGAGGGCCACGACATAGTTTTTCACGGAACTATGCAGATGTACAAAGCCTAAAAGGAGAAGGAATACCTGCTTTTGCTTTAAAAGCTCTCAAAGCTTTCCTGATTAAAGAGGCTTTTGCCCCAGACGCCTCCAAAACAGACAAACTGGAAGCAGAGACACGTGCAGGCTCCAGCTGCAGAGTGAGCAAAGAGCACATCCATGAGGCAACGAGGAGAGCCACCCCAAAAACCAGCCCTGCCTCGTGCTTTTAAAGCTGCAATAGTTCGTGATGCTTCAGGACACGAGCGATTTGCACTTCATAGAAAGTGAAAGGACAGGGGAAGCTGCCTCTGTGCCTCACCCTGACTGCACTGCAGCAGCTCGGGAGATCCTAGCGTTGACCTGGGCAATGCAGGGAGCTCTTTGGTCCCCAGATCACCTGCAACGTCCCCCGAGTGCTGAGCCATGGCTTCCTCCTCCCAGCCTCAGTTTTTAAAC